GCTCACTAAATCTCTTCCAAGTCTCATATTCCAGGGGTTTGACCCGTAATTCTTCCTGTTCTGATTATTGTTCTGGATCACCCAAATTGTTAACAATTCATGTCTGTTACAGTTTTGCTTCATCAGCCATGACTGAACTGGTTCAAAGCGGTTTGAAGCCCTGGAATGAACCTAGTACATTCCTGGAACAATGGATAGACCAGTTTAATTAGAAAGGAGAATACATATTGAGAGGTATATTGGACAAGTAGGTAAAATAGTCAGGAAGTAAACAACACTAAAAGCCAAGCACAGAACTTTGAGTGGGAGAGGTTTGTGAACATTTGTCATAAAAGAAAGGATGTAAGAGTGGCTTCAATTTTTCCCAGTGCACAGTTCTTGAAAATCCAACCTGCTTTCTACATTTATTTAATGAGTTATTTCATTTTGGAGTGTCAACTGGAAAAATGGGGGCAAAAACAAATCTTCCTGTGACATAACATAATTTCTTCATTATTTTCCTACAAAGGCTAAACAGATGCAAAAGCAGTTTGAGGCAGGGAGTGTCTTAATTAGCTGCTCAAGGGACCAAAGGTTTATGTATGACTCGTGAGTCACTTAAAATCAAGCCACCCAGAGGATGTCCTGAATCACCCAAGATGCCATCTGGAAATGTAACTGAGGAATGTGTCAGGTGGCATTTGCCAGAACTCAGGCCTCAATTCCTCTTCCCAGAAGATTAACCTTTTGCTGTTTTATTCTGGTATAATAATACTTTAGTGACCATTAGAATAAATTACTTTGGAGGTGGCAGAGAACCTCAGAAATAATCTAATTCAGGCTCCCTCATTTTACAGAGAAGGCTGTAGCTTGGCAGCTGGTGACTCCTGGTCCAAAGCTCTTTACTAAACCTTATTGCCTTTTATTTTTGAAAAAACAACACAGCCCATGTTGGTATCACAAGAAGTAGAAACTTCAGGACAAGGACACTGCCCTGAGTGAGTACTGTATTTGCCATCTTAGGAAAATAATTTTACCCCTCTATAGTGGTTAAGAGCTACGGCTGCTAACCAAAAGGTCAGTAGTTTGAATCCGCCAGCCACCTCTTGGAAACCCTGTGGGGCAGTTCTACTCTGTCCTATAGAGTCGCTCTGAGTTGGAATTGACTTGATGGCAACAGGTTTGATTTTTTTGGTTTATAGACGGGTGATAGCATCAACTCTGAATCACCCACTTGCGGTAATGCATTCTACTTAGTGACATTTCATTATGTTTAGAAGGGAAGAAATATGAAATGCAATTATTACCTACCCCCACTTTTCAAAATATAAACATTTTTCTTTTTGTGATGCCAGAGAGCTTCATAAGAATGGTATCTAATTAATTCAGAATAAAATCAAGGAAGTCCCTATGGTCCATGAGCTGGCAGTGGTTGGAGAACACCAGCTGTTGGCTTCCAAAATCTGCTCATTAAGTACAGAACATTCAGAGAACTTCAGTTAGTGTGATATTATGGCTAGGGCACAAAATACAAGAGGAATCAAAGGGTGATTGTTAGACTAGAATAAAACAACTAGCAGAAGCAGGCAGGAGGCAGAGCATGCAGGGCCTTATATATGCCCTTGAGTTTATCCTGCAGATGATGGTGAGTCACTGAAGACATTCGAAGAAGAGGGTGAGACATCAGGTCTACTGCTGGAAAGATCATTCTGGGACCAGTTGGATAGGCAAGTAAAACTTCATGTTAAAAACGTACAAACCAAAACCAAAACCCACTACTGTCAAGTCGATTCTGACTCATAGCGACCCTACAGGACAGAGTAGAACTGCCCCATAGAGTTTCCAAGGCCGTAACCTTTACGGAAGCAGACTGCCACATCTTTCTCCCACGGAGCAGCTGGTGGGTTCAAACCACTAACCTTTTGGCTAACAGCCGAGTTCTTTAACCACTACGCCACCAGGGCTCCTTAAAAATGTACAACACATAAAAATAATACTTTAAAGATTCTATAAGAAACTCCAAGAGATTATATAAACTGTCTAGGCCAAGGGAGTCAAGAAATTCTTTGACCAACAATGAAAACTCAGAGGCTATAAAGGAAAAGAGAAAGTTATTTATTATGTAGGAGCTTAAAACTTTTACATGGCAAATATACCATAAACAAAGTTAATAAGGCAAATGACAGATTTAAGGAGGGGGGAAATCTTCCAATTCAGAAGATAGAGGGTATCTATAACATACAAAGACGGCTAACAAATGGACAGTTAGGGGATAAAAAAAAAACATGATAAAAGATGGGGAAAAGACCTGAAAAAACAATTCACAGATAAATGACTCTGAATAGCCAAAAAAAAAAAAAGAATTTTAAAAGCCCAAACTCATAGTCAAGTAAATGCAAATTAAAGTAACAATCACTTTATACCTAAGAGACTGGTAAATCGAGAATAGTAATTATATTTACTGCTGGCATGAATGTAAGTATTCATCATTGTTGACAGAAATGGGGATTAATACAGATAGTATTAAGAGTAATAGTATTCAGAGAGTATTCTGATAACATCTATCAAAATTAAAAATGTATATGCCCTTTGAGCCAGCAATCCTCCTACTGAAAATTTAGATAATAGAATTAAAAGCACTAGCATACTAGAATAAGCAAGAAAGTTTATTGCTGCAGCATTTGTAGGGGCAAAAAACTGGAAACAGAATGTTCATCAGTAGTAGAAAGCTTAACAAGTTATGATGTGGCAAAACATGGAATAATATTCAGCCATTAAAAAAAATGAATACAGCTATGCCAGGTGAGGTATTGTTAAGCAGGAGTAAAAAAGAATAGAAAAATGTATATAACTGAAACAGCAGTTTATTGTTTTAGTTAAAGTCATGAATCAGAAGCCAGATTATTGAGACTCAAATCCTGATTCTACCACCTCTTGCCTACTCTGTCATCTTGGGCAAGTTGCTCTATCTCTCTGAAACTGTTTTCTCATCGGTCAAACGTCTCCAAGAACTGTTATAAGGGTAATTGAGTTAAGATTTGTAAAGCACTTAAAACAACGCCTGGCATGTAGCAAGCACTTAAGAAACATTAGCTGTCATCATATAATTCCAATGTTTTAAAATAATGATCAGAACGTCATACATGCAAATGTACACAAGGTTCCCCTATCTTCCTCCACTGTGTCATTTTTCCCACTGGCACTTATCACCCTCTTGATGACTGATATACTTATAATTCACTTATTTACTTTGTCTTTTTGGACTATCTCTGTTCCCCTTTAGACTTTAAAAGGGACTCTGCTCCTCTATAAAAGATAGGATTTTTATTTTATTTATTTCTGGTCTGTTTTATTCATTGCTATATCCTCAATGCCTAGAACAGGGCCAGGCAGGTAACAGGCACTTAAAAAAGTATTTGTTGAATGAATGAATGAATGAATATGTGTATATATATATGTAGCTTATTCTCCAGGGGTCTCTCATATTTTTGCATGTCATGTGAGCAGAAGCACTGACTGTCTTTGTTTTGAACTATCTTTCTAAGAATGTTTGTATAGTGAACAGTCTTGGAAGCCAGAGGTGGTGTCTCCCTCTAGAGCAAAAGGCAAGTTTTTGTTGTCATTTTTACTGTCCAGTATAATAAACATAATGTCTACTATGTATAATAAACATAATGTCTATCCAGTGACAAAGGTCAAGCAGGCTTAGTGCTCATTATAAAATATTCATGTTCCTTAAGTTTGGGGTTCCCCTCCTGTAATGCAACCAACTGTGAGTATAGGAATCACCTGGCTCTCTTTGCATCACCATGTGGGAACTGGGAATAGAGGAATGGCACAAATGCTGATATTCTGGCTACTGCTATTGCTGTGAGTAATAAACTGTCCTTTTTCTCTGACCCAGGAGTCTCATGTCTTCTGCCAGCATCCACAAAACAGACTAACTCGTTAGCTTGTAAGTAGGGTAAAACCTCAGATCTTTTACAATTCATGACATACTTATATACATATATGTTTGTCTGTGAACATGGAGATAAACACAAAAGAATGAATACTAGGTTAACTGGCAGATGAGGGGGCAGGTTCGGAGGATTGGGGAATGAAGGCGGAAGAGAAAACCTACCAACAAATGAAATATATTAAAAGTCCCAGTTGAAACAAAGATGGTGATGATTGTGACATCTGTAATGACAAGAAATCTGGAATTGATTCAAACACCAGCCAGATATAGGGAGGGCTTGGATAAATGCCTCCCTCTTGAGGAACTACTGGAGAATCCTTATCAACAGAGCCTGAAGATATGTCTCTGCATTCTGATATTTCACTGCATACACAGTAGTAAAGGAAGAAATGAGAGAGTTTTAAATAAGCTATTGGTGTTTCTGAACATTAGCCCTCGTTCCAATCCGTTAGCTTCCCACATGCGTTGAGAGCCTTGCCCAATTCCCATCACATGAGGCTTTAATCTATAATTGTGAATTCTTTGGCTGCTTTGTGTTGTTTACTTCACAACAAAGCCTTTACTTCCTGGGTAAAAATGCCATAAAAAAGTAAAGGTTATATTTACTTGTTTTTTTTTTTTTTTTTCCTTGTTTTTTAAGAAGGCCTTTGAAACTCCATTCAGCAAAGCATTTTTAAATGCTTTGTCTTTATAAACCAAAGCAAACCAGACGCACTGCATCGAGTCAACTCTGACTCACAGCAATCCTATAGAATAGACTAGAACTGCCCATAGGGTTTCCAAGGCTGTAATCTTTACAGAAGCAGACTCCCACATCTTTCTTCCACAGAGCAGCTGGTGGGTTTGTCATTATAGTCCTACTGAAATAATCAGTTCTTTCCAGAAGAAAAATCTACTTAAAGAACGCCTTAAAATTAGCTATACTATAGCTTCATGTTAGAATTCTTTTACAAGCAACTTTATAAGCTTTGGAGGAGCTATAAGTAAAGTGAGTGTCTGGTTCAAAAGAAGCAGGACAGTGAGGAAACCAGCTCTTGAGATGTACCAAGAGTATACATACCAGCCTTTGCAACAGCCTCACTTGTCTTGGGACCCTGCGTCCAACCTGTAAAGAGAAGAGTCATGAAATATCCTTGTGAGATCGTTATTAAATGAGTTATTTGAGGGGTTTAAAACCTATTCAAGTTCACAAAAAGGACTATCCATCCTGTAAAAGTAGTTTTGACCTTTTATCAGGGAATTACCAGGCCAGAATTAGAATTTGTCCTTCTCACAACTGGTTGACTTCCTATCCCATAATGTCACACTACCTGGTCACTTGGGTGTTCTTAAATCTGTTAGAGAAGCATGGATGAAATGACAAGAACAAAGAGATAATTTGAATATTTGCATTCTATTTCATTTTACTTGGGGCTTGAAATTAAGCTCTTTGCTACTGTGTCTATTAAAAGGAGTAAAAGTGTTCACCTTATTCTGACAGGCTCAGTTACTCACCTGAAAACTCCAGGAACCTTTTCAAGCAAAACTAAACTTACTTTGAATTTTCTGATTGTATTTTTCTGGATGACTTGTTACACTTTCCCACATGCATGGGAGAAGTATGGGAATGTGATAAAACAATCTTTTTTTTTTAAATTACATTAATAATTAAGTAGCTTCAAAAAACAAAAATAATAAAAAATGAATAAAAATAAAAAAATAATTAACCAGCTTCACTGGGCTAATTTAAAAATCATAGCTGGTTGCTGAACATCCAAAACCAACCAAACCCATTGCCGTCAAGTCAATTCCAACTCATAGTGATGCCATGTGACAGAGGAGAGCTGCCCCATAGGGTTTCCTAAGCTGAATCTTTATGGGAGCAGATCGCCAAGTCTCACTTGCAGCGTGGCTAGTGGGTTTGAACTGTCGACCTTTTGATTAGCAGCTGCGCACTTAACCACTGCGCCACCAGGCCTCCTTAGTTGAACATTATTCACGGCGAATCACTGTTTAATAACCGAAGCGAAAACTGCTATTGCTGTGAATAATAAATCATCCTTTCTAGAAGTCAATTTGCAATGTATATTAAAAACTTGAAAAATATGCCTAGACGTTATGCATCTTTTTAAACAGCTTTATGAGGTTTAATTTACATAAAATAAAATCTGCTCACTTGAAGTGTACAATTTAATGTTTTGTCGAGTATTCACAGTTGTGCAATCAACACCACAATCAATTTTTGAACATTTTTATTACTCACAGAAGGAGCCCTGAATACCTTAGAATCACCTTCTGACACCCCCTCTCTCCCAGCCTTAGGCAATGACTAATCTACTTTCCATCTCTAAGATTTGCCTATTCTGGACATTTCATGTAATTGGAATTACACACTATGCTGCCTTTTGTGTCTGGCTTCCTTAGCATAATGTTTTCTTTTTTTTTCCCCCTACGCTTAATCAACACAATTCTTCCATCACTGTTAAACCGCCCCCCCGCCCCCGGAACCACCAATAAACTTTGGTCTCTACACATTTGCCTTTTCTGTCTCTTTTTTTAATTGCGCTTTAAATGAAGGTTTACAGAGCATATCAGTTTCTCATTAAATAATTAATACACATATTGTTTTGTGACATTGGTTGTCAACCCCCAATGTGGCAACACTCTCCCCTTCTTGACCTTGGGTTTCCCATTACCAGCTTTCCTGTCCTCTTCTGTCTTCTAGTCCTTGCCCCTGGACTGTTATGCCCCATTAGTCTCATTTTGTTTTATGCGGCTGTCTAATAAGTGTTAACCTCAGGAGTGACTTCAGTACTGAGTTAAAAGGGTGCCCAGGGGTCATACTCTCAGGGTTTCTCCAGTCTCTATCAGACCAGTAAGTTTGGTCTTTTTTTGTGAGTTGGAATTTTGTTCTACATTTTTCTCCAGCTCTATCCGGGGCCTTCTATTGTGATCCCTGTCAGAGCGGTTGGTGGTGGCAGCTGGGCATCATCTAGTTGTGCTGGACTCAGTCTGGTGGAGGCTGTGGTAGTTGTGGCCATTAGTATAATGTTTTCAAGGTTCATCCATGTGGTAGCATGTATCAGTACTTCATTCCTTTTTATGGCTGAACAATATTCCACTGTATATATATATATATGTATCTACCACATTTTGTTTATCCATTCACGACTTGACGGACAACTGGGTTTTTCTACTTTTTGACTATTATAAATAATGCTAAACTCCCATGAACATTCACATGTCAGTCTTTGTATTGGACATATGTTTATATTTCTCTTGGGCAGATACCTAGGAGCTGAATTCCTGGGTCACATGGTAAATTTAACTTTTTAAGAAACTTCCAAAATGTTTTCCAAAGTGGCCATACCATTTTACATTCCCACTAGTATGTATATCTTTTAATTAAGAAAGTCAATTTACAGAAAAGTATTCTAAGGGAGGCAAAATTAGAATTAATTAATTAGATCAATTAATTAGAATACCAACCAAAAAAACCAAACCCGTTGCCACTGAGTAGATTCTAACTCACAGCGACTATAGGAGAGGGTAGAACTGCCCCATAAGGTTTCCAAGGAGTGGCTGGTATATTCGAACTGCTGACCTTTTGGTTAACAGCTGAACACTTAGCCACTGCACCACCAGGGCCCCATATTAGAATATAGCTATCGAAAATGATGATGTAGATCCATATTTACTGATATCAATAAACGTCCATTTTACTGAACTTTAATGCTGTTTACCACATATTTTTCTAGCTCTCTGCCAGGAGGATGGTACTTCCTAGTGCCCTTGTGGGTAGGTGGGGCCATTTGACTAGTTCTGGCCAATGAGTTATGAATGTACGTAACATTTGTCACTTCTAGGCCAAGTATTTGATTACAGGTGCGAGATCCTCCTCAATGCCCTTTTCTCTCTGGCACAGTATTCAGCAATGTTGAGATGGTAGCTGCTCCATCAGCCCAAATTCCCAAGAAACCACAAAGTTCACAGTTATCCTGCTGCCAACCCAAGATGGACAAATTGTATAAACAAGAAATAAAAACTTGTCATTTAAGACAATGAGATATGGAGGTTGTTTGTTATCACAGCATAACTTAGCCTATCCTGACTGATCTATTCACAACATATTTTTAAGTGATTAAATCAGGTAACAAAACAGCATATTTAACATGATCCCTCTCTGTAAGTAAGTATAAGTGTTTGTGTGTGTGGAATGTATACCAAAATGTGAACGGTTGTTACATTTCAGTAGTAGAATTCTTTTTCTTTAAACCTGTCTGTATTGCTTCAACTTATCGACAAATTAGCATGTACTACTTCCATAATAGAAAAAAAAGATGAAAGATATTTCCATTTCGAAAAATAAAAGTATAACTGAAACTGTTTTAACCCAGATCCTCTCCCTGATCCCCCCAAAATATATACTATAATAAATTCTCATTGTAAGCCATTATAGAGCCGCCTCTTCTACAGAACATGGAAGAGAAAGAAATAGTACTGCATTTTGGCTGACGTCCACCTAGACTCCTAATGAGAACCAAACAATTACTAGGGGGATACTGGCTTCTGGTCCCTAAAATGAGATCAGATGTATGTGGGGCTGTCACACAGAAAGCCGCAATAAGCACCCTGGGCAAGTTCTTTGCCGGTTCTGCAGGTTCATTTCAGACCTTTCCCTCCCTAAAACTGTGGACTTGGCTGGGATCACTTAAATAACTATAGTCACAAGGAAAGCCCAGCCCCTCTCAGGTATTATGTTCTCTGATTGATCTAAAGTATTTTCTTTGGAAGCTTCTTCCTTTGTAAAATAGGTTTTCATTAAAAAATAAGCTTTAAGGAGAACAAGAGAAGCTAGATTTTCATTTTTTGAGATGACTATCTACTATCTGATGTCTCAAGGGATCATTATGGCTACACTTCAGTACAAGTTTAAACTTCAGATTGAACCAGAATCAAAACATCCTGGTTCACACGGATTTCTGGTGCCATTCCTGGAAATGGAAATGACACCAGTGCTATCATCGTTTTCCGTTAGGAATTCCTGATTGTTTTTCTTGCTTGAGTGGTTTCCCATTGCCTTATAAGAGCCTGGGGTAGGGGTTTGGGAGCGGACATGTAACTGACTTCCAGCTCAATGGCAAGGACTATCATAATACTAATCTTAGAGCTTCCATACACTTGTTTAGGGCTCCAAATCATAGACTTAAAACATGGTTCAAATAGGATTCTTTGGTACTACTGGTCTGAGCTTGTATCTCCAGTATGAGAGCAGAAGTCCAAGCCCCAATATTTATTGAGAAAAATAGGCCACAATCCTGCCATCAAGGACCTTACTTAAAATAAAAGGATCTAATTTAAAATAAAATAACTTAAAATGAAATAAAAGTTGTGAAAACTGAATAGACAAGAAAATTTTAATAAGTTACAAAGTAAATGGCAAAAGAATTCATTATGGTCTTGGGTGATCACAAAAGGCTTTATGATGGAGGTATGGCTAGAACTAGTTCTGTAGGATATTTATTAGAGTAGGATGAAAATGAAGGAGAAATTTTAAAAGAATCAGATTCAATACAAGAACTATGCTGAAAAAATAATTCAGCTTCACAGATCTGCCACTGCCTCTTTAACTTACATATCAAGCAGAATCCACTACCAGAAGGGTAGGTAACAATTTCCTTTCCACAAAGAATGTAGCAATAACACTATCAGGGCTGTAGAGTTTAGACTTTCAGCATCTACCCAATCATCAGGGAAGGATTACCCAATAAGCAAGGTCCGCATGGGCTTACTTGTGTTTACGTACTAATCTGTAGTGCCCCTCAAGATGTGTGAAACCCATGTGAAATTGTATATACAGATTAGTACTAAACACAAGTAAGCCCATGCATACCTTGCTTAATGTAAGCCCATGCATACTTTGCTTACTGATTAATCCACCCCTGACCATCATCAATCATTCCAACTATAGGTAAAAAATATCAGGTGCCACTTAAATGTTTATAATTTGAATAATAGAGATCCTGCTTTTCTCAGGATCTATCATACCACTAAGGACCCTGGGTGGCGTAAATGGTTTGTGCTCAGCTAGTAACAGAAGGGTTGGCGGTTCGAACTCATCCAGTG